GCGGGATGGGGTCGAACGACGCATTCCCTCTCGATGATTGGGACCAGTTCCCTCCATCTCATCCCCCCTCGAACGAACCACGTACCACGTCGAAGCGCCCCAGACGAACGTTGAGCTCTGGCCATATAGGATGACCCAATCAGCCACACTGAAAAGAGTGAGACAAGTGAAAGGAAATATATCTGTCAGATTGTGCTACATGATTACTGGCAAACGAATGTAGGATTCATATGCATCGGACCCCCATCTACCATATTTTTTAATTATGTGTGGGCTAACGCCGTTTGCTGCAGCCCCAATCCTAAAAGAATGGGAAGAAAACGCTGAAGTGTCTACATCACTGTGCGCTAATGCTTTTTTGACCACGGCCTGGAACTGATATCTTGTGAGAGGGGAGTGGTCAAAGTGGATAAAGGCTTGCTGTGGACCACTTGGGCGAATGTTAAGATAAGAATGGACAGCTGTCACGGGACACAAGGGGTTGGAGGGGATGGAGGAAATGGCAACAAGCACGCCTTTGTTCAGCCTATCAGTCTTGGAGCGTCTCAAAGTAAATTGTACTCGCCCGGCAGATTTGTCCAGCTTCACGTCATTGGTGGCAATGCCTGGCTGATCAACCGAGGTCTGTACGAGCTCCCCCCACCCTGAAAAATCCAAAGAATGCGGCACAGAAAACAGCTTTGAAAAGACATTGCTCATATACGTTGCTGCACACCGCTGGAAGATTACGGATTATTAACTTTAACAAATCAACAGTTATTAGTTTACGTGTGTCACGTCGCGACTGGTCACGTGACATGCCAGCAAGTAACTTAGAAACCAAGAAGTGATCGGTGCAATCCTGCCACCCATTTAACTTATGAAAGGATGATAGTGCAGAGATGTATGTTTTAGCTGTACTGCTGCAGTAATGGTTAACCGACAGATACGAAATGAAATGCACAACCTGATCAATCGGGGCCGGCCAAAGTGGTGACAGCTCATGGGCTCGTCTGAAGGTGTGGAACGTCTGCAAGCTCGTGTGGTATGTCGACCAGGTGTTCGACGACATGGACTTGTGTAGCAGTCGCTGGACCTCCCGATCTAGAGGTCCCAGATCCCGTCCGGTAGGGGTGTTGGTGTCCCGGTCCGCTGCTGGCGCACATTTGCGGAACTGGTCCCACTGAAATCTCGACAGAGAGTCAGCTATAACATTGTCATGGGTACTAGTGTATACAGCTTTGAATGTGATATTGTACTGCAAGCAATATAGAACGAAGCGTCTCACAAGAGACATAGTACGAGGGACGCGACAAGACTGCTTATTGATGATATGAACCACCGCTTGATTGTCGCAATTAAACAGAATTCGTCTGTTGGCCAAAGACTCGCCCCAAATTTGGACAGACAATACAATAGGGACAAATTCCAACAGCGTCATATCCCTCGTCACGCCCTCCCGCACCCATTGCTGTGGCCAACGCCCACATGTCCATTTGCCCTGGTTGTAAGCACCAAAACCTGCACCGCCTGCTGCGTCAGTAAAGAGCTGAATGACTGTGTTTGACGTCCACGCAGGACTCTGAAAAACTGATATGCCATTAAAATGTTCTAGAAATTGTAACCACAATACCAAGTCATCCTTGATGCCCTTTGTGAGCCGACATCTGTGAAATGGCGACTTTAACTTGCACATCTCGTCGATGAGACGTCGACAAAATGCCCGTCCCATGGGAATGGCACGACATATGAAATTGAGTTTACCCACAAGAGACTGGAGTTCGCGTTTGGTTACCTTCCTACGATCAGCACTCAGCCACCCTCTGATCTGCGCGGTCGTCATAACAATTTTGTCTTGTGGGATTCGAACGTGCCCGGCAACTGTGTCTAGCTCAAGGCCCAGGAAAGTAATTTTTGTTGTAGGTTGAACAGTTTCCTCAGGTGCCACTGGGACATTGAAGTGATTCAGTACACGCATACAAGATTGTAAATTATAATCACAGTCACTGGTACCGGCAACGCCCCCTGTGAGGAAGTCATCCAGGTAATGCATTAACTGCTTATTTGGGAGACTGCGGGGAATGCACCATTGCAAAAACGTGCTGAATCTTTCGAAAATAGCGCATGAAATAGAGCATCCGAATGGTAAACATTTATCAAAATAGTACTTGCCGTTAAACTGAATGCCGAGCAACTCGAAGTCATGGGGATGGACTGGTATGATGCGGAACGCTGATTTGATGTCAAACTTTGCAAGGAGGGCGCCCGCTCCCAACTGTTGTACCATCTCCACAGCTTCGTCAAAGCGTGAATATGAAACAGAACAGTCTTGTTGGTTAATGTCATCATGAATAGAGTCACCCTGCGGATATGATAAATGGTGAATCAAACGACAATTATCAGAGAGCTTACTGACCGACCCACCGTCTATTTTCTTCGGAACAAGTCCGATTCGTGATACTTGTAATGCAGGAAGCGGTGGATCATCAAAAGGACCAGTCATTCTACCTAGGGTGACCTCTTTGTTCAGCTTTTCAACAACAACCTCCGCACCCACAGCATCTGTCGCTGATGACAGATTTTTTGACATTCTGAAGACGCGGGTACCCTGAAACTTAAGCTTAAAACCGTACAGAAAGCCATAATACAATGAGTGTGCATCCGAAGTGTTAACGAGTGAAGAGACTCCAACATGTTACTTACGCTGACCGGAGTTGGTGCTCGAGACATTTCGTCTATACTGCTGGGGTGTATTTGCACCGGTGGCAGCTGACGCTCCGACGGACGCATGGGGACGAAAACAGCTCTGGATGTTGTGACTAGACTCTCCACAGTTTCCGCACTTGTGTGGGTATTTACAGGATTGACGTTGAAAGTTCCCCTTGTTGAAGTCCCAACAAATATTAAATGGTAATTAGCGATGATTATTTTTGAGACACTTACCCCAGTATTGGTACGTGGCTTGATCTGTTGGGGTGTCAGCATGTGCTGCAACCAGAGCTCACCGTCGACACGTCCCCACTGACGAGTGGGATCCCTTGCCATTCTGTGACGGAATTGTTGATCATACACCCTCCATCCATCTCCGCCGAAGCGCCAGGGAGCATTGCGTATGGATTCAGAGAATGACAACATTCCCTGTAACACACTAGGTGAAAAATGTTTTGACATGTAAATCGACATAAAAATATGAAATGCCGATGTCCACGCACCAAGAGTGATTGGCTTACCCTGCGATTGCTGGCGGGTGACGAGAGAGACACTACCGTCTCTATCAGCGATCAGATCCATTTTCGCTTGGTTATCGATACCCGAATTCACATTAGGAAGTAAGGTTGAAAGATCAACGTACTCACCGTTGTAGATTTTGTCACGGGTGGCCTGCTTCACGTGAGCACCAATTTCCTGAGCGTCATACGTTAATGGCGATGGGGCGGAAGAGGGAACTGAAATGTCAGACACGACGGGGAGGGAGACAACCGGGTTCTGAAGATTACCTTGGTTTGAAAGCAATTTTAGAATTGCTTCAAGCTGTCCCGAAATACTGGGAATTGCTCTTGGCGCTGGGGATGTGAAATCGGAAATTTCAACCGATGCAGATGGGGGCGATGGATTAATATAATTATTGCAGGACTCACCATTCTCAGAACTGCTCTTTATGTTATCTCTCTTATCTTTGTACCTAAGTGCAAATAATAAGATTCCATTTCCTCAATCAAACGTTCGGCAACATAAAAAATGACATGTATAATCAAACATAGCACTTTCGTTACACGTTTCCAAATTGTTCTCCACATTGTACATTAAAATATATACCTCGTTTTGGAGGTTTGGAGGTTTGTATTTTCTCAGGTAACTTTCCTGTAGGGTCATTTACAATATCCCTGGGACATTCTATACAATACTCCATACTTGGCCCTGAAAGTAGATTTTCACGAAATGAAAGGTTTCTTTCTCGATAAAGACAGTCAAGCAGAGACAGTGGTTTTATTTCTTTCAATGACATTTTAAGAAATATTGAAATTGAAGACGACTGTCGGCTTCGTCGTCGATTTCGTTGATCGCACGTCGTTTCCTGAATCGGCAGTCGTCTTTTCTGTATCCGTAGCTGCCATAGTTTTGATTTCACTCAAACTGTTTGGTGCTGAGGTAAGGATATCAGACAAAGTCGACTTCTGCACATCTGAAGGACGTTTGTATGACCGGACGGCTTCACTTTTGTGACCTGTAAAGAAAAAGCCAAAACCAATATTCAAATTTCCATAATATAAAAAAATATCTGAAACCACACGACACAGAGTAGTTACCTTACGTCTCAGAAAAAAGTGGTGAAGAAGTGATGACCATGCTCTTTGATAAACATCGGTATGTGAAACAACATAATGGATTCTAAGTACATTTAAACATTTCACACATTATTTAATCTAGAGTGTGATATTACATAGGCTACAAAGCTTAAGTCTATTTAGTCAACGTGATTTTCGTTAGAATTTCAATATTTTATGCTTTATGATGACTAATGTCATAAATTAATGCTCACCCGTCATTTCGCAAATCATTTGTTCATCAACATATAGTTTCCGTCAAGCACAGCTTCGGAAGATCCAAGTTGTATTTCATAGCTCTTTGACGTCTCTCCTCTTGCCATCTTGAAAACACTGCAACGGCCCAGTCGTTCTTATACTTAGTTGATATGGGAACACAAATTTGAAGTTCCTTATCGATGTCATTACTGTCCATTGGTTCGCCGAATCTAAACTCAAAGTCACCATCACTGTCAACGGTGTTTTCAAAATTTACTACACAAGACTGTGTGAAAAAATATCATCTCCTTCCTCTCTCTCCATGTTTCTTGTAGTAAACTGCAGTTGACAGACGACCAGCAAGCGCGCGCACACATTTAGCCGCGACATTTTCAACGTGAAGAACATGCTGTTATGTACACAACTAGCGGGTGAATGGCTGCGTTAGTGCGATACTTTTTCAGTGTTCACGTTTCATCGGTATGCCATCGTCCATTTCATAGAAAATATATTGCATGATTTATGACCGATTTTGATAAATGTGTAGTCTTTTCTTTCGATATATATGACAGATATAACACTCTCCCTCGGTTTTGGTTGAAAGTGTAAACATTCGGGTCCGGTTCTCCCTCGCCCTCATGATTACATTTTCAACCAAAACCTCGGGATCGTGTTATAGCCTTTACTTAAAACTTCAGATGTCTAAAGGATCCCTTTCCAGTAAGGCTTGTATGAAGGATGGGCGATGTTTGGTGACTAGATCTGGAAAAGAAACCTGTGTCAAAGATAATCGTTACCTTGGCACAGAAGAACTTAATAGACAATGTGAGTAGAACAATCTTATTCATAGTATATTTTTACAAGAAGCATTTAATTATAACCATGATAGACTCATAGTTTTGTCACTTGTGGTTCTTGGCTCACATTTTCTAAAGGTAGGGGCCATCTTGCCCCTTCCTGGAAATCTTGGTTGCAGCACTGTAATGTAATATGTGTTACTATTTCGGAGGTTAGAAAAGATCCAGGTTAGAATTGGTCTTCTGTAACCCGTGCTTGTTGCAAGAGGCGACGAACAGAATCGGGTGGCCGGGCAAGCGGACTTGGTTCGTTATGTACAGGACCGTACATTTTATCATCTTATAGATGGTGTTCCTCAATAGGTTTTGAAACACAAGGCGTCTTTTATTTTATGAAAACCTTTGTCACTTTAGCAGAAGATATCATCGATGTGATCCCATGCGCCTGTATCAAAATGCTTAAAATGATCTGTTACAGCAGCAGAGAATCCCACTCAGGAATCCGAAAAAACCCAAAAGAAATTACTCCAGGCTGTCAAATCCGGGAATCTGTGGTCTGTCAAAAATATTTTGGATTCGGGGTTGGCAGATATCAACGCCAAAAGCCGGGACGGAAAGACACCAATTTTAATAGCAGCAGGATCTGGAAAGAGGCGGGTATTTGAATTACTAATGACCAATGGAGCAGATATGTGTGCAGTACATAAGAGTTTAGGCACCATACTACATTTTGCCATTAATGGAGGAAATTTCGATATACTGAAACTTATCGTACGGGCCCACAAAGTCGATATCAACCGTGGAAATGGCATTGGAGTGACGCCTTTGGAGTGGGCGCGTTGTAAGCACATGAAACGAATGGTTGCCTTTCTTAAGCATAACGGAGGTAAGTTCCATTAAAAAAAAGGATTCTATGACTTGTTTTTAAGTAGTATTTAGAAGCTAGTATAATGAAGAGGATACTTTTGATGGATAGACAACTTCTTCATTGCTACAGATGCGACGTTTTGGTGTAGATACGAACACAATTGTCAGGCAAATAACACACAACATGATGTACAAGGTGGATATATACACGAATGGTATTTGAGTTTATACAATTGAAGAGGTTGATGTACAGTTTGTTGACATTACTGAATGTATGTTTTCATTCATTATGTTTGCGCCTCCAACCAATAACCATAAATGGGAATCTTAAACGTTGTGTGTGCGAATGGTCAGCCGGAAACGGAAAGGGTATTTCTGTGTTACACATTTACGTATTCGGAAAGAGCAAAGAGCTAAGAATGTCGTAAGAGAGTTTTCACGAAACAAACACGATCGGGCGCAATAGCTGAACCTTTAACATTGACACCAGTGCCATTTTGTACATGTATGCATGCAGCTGCCCGACATTTGAGTCAGTGTAATTTGGTTCCTCTGTGTCTGCATTTTCTGCACACACACAGAACAAGTAATTCATGACATTACGCTCAGCAGTGCACTATGTAGGGATTTTACTAAATCTCCTCAAAGCATTTGCTTGGAAAGGCCCATAATTTGATTTTCAGACAGTGGTAAATCTGCTATTATAATATTAGTCCTTGTAAGGACAATTTCAAAGTATTTATCCGCCGCAACGTGGAACGGGGCACTATGTATTCAGCAGCGTCCGTCCGTCCGTCCGTACGTACGTACGTCCCGATTCTTGTTACCCAATGTCTTCAAATTTGGTGTCAGCCTACATTGGGAGATTACGCAGACACCAGTTGCTTTACGTGACCTTGACCTTATTTTCAAGGTCACCACGACACCTTGACCACTTTTCCAACTCTTGTTCACGCGATATCTCATGATCTGTTGTACCCAATGTCTTCACGTTTGGTGTCAGCCTACATTGGGGGATTACGCAGACACCAGTCGTTTTCCGTGACCTTGACCCTATTTTCAAGGTCACCACGACACTTTGACCACTTTTCCAACTCTTGTTTACGCGATATCTCATGAACTGTTGTATCCAATGACTTCACCTGATTGGCTTTGAAGCCAAGAAAATTAAGGTGAATAATTGTGAACTATTGTGATTGGTCTGATTTACTTGAATACTGACCCTGATCGTGCACACTAATAGTGACAGTGGGTAGAATACTACCTCTGATCGTGCACACTAATAGTGACAGTGGGTAGAACAGTAATACTACCATGATCGTGCACACTAATAGTGACAGTGGGTAGAATACTACCATGATCGTGCACACTAATAGTGACAGTGGGTAGAATACTACCCTGATCGTGCACACTAATAGTGACAGTGGGTAGAATACTACCCTGATCGTGCACACTAATAGTGACAGTGGGTAGAATACTACCATGATCGTGCACACTAATAGTGACAGTGGGTAGAATACTACCATGATCGTGCACACTAATAGTGATAGTGACAGTGGGTAGAATACTACCATGATCGTGCACACTAATAGTGACAGTGGGTAGAATACTACCCTGATCGTGCACACTAATAGTGACAGTGGATAGAATACTACCATGATCGTGCACACTAATAGACAGTGACAGTGGGTGCACACTAATGGAATACTACCATGATCGTGCACACTAATAGTGACAGTGGGTAGAATACTACCCTGATCGTGCACACTACCTGAGTGACAGTGGGTAGAATACTACCATGATCGTGCACACTAATAGTGACAGTGGGTAGAATACTACCCTGATCGTGCACACTAATAGTGACAGTGGGTAGAATACTACCCTGATCGTGCACACTAATAGTGACAGTGGGTAGAATACTACCATGATCGTGCACACTAATAGTGACAGTGGGTAGAATACTACCATGATCGTGCACACTAATAGTGATAGTGGATAGAATACTACCATGATCGTGCACACTAATAGTGACAGTGGGTAGAATACTACCATGATCGTGCACACTAATAGTGACAGTGGGTAGAATACTACCATGATCGTGCACACTAATAGTGACAGTGGGTAGAATACTACCATGATCGTGCACATCACACTAATAGTGACAGTGGGTAGAATACTACCATGATCGTGCACACTAATAGTGACAGTGGGTAGAATACTACCATGATCGTGCACACTAATAGTGACAGTGGGTAGAATACTACCCTGATCGTGCACACTAATAGTGACAGTGGATAGAATACTACCCTGATCGTGCACACTAATAGTGACAGTGGGTAGAATACTACCATGATCGTGCACACTAATAGTGACAGTGGATAGAATACTACCCTGATCGTGCACACTAATAGTGACAGTGGGTAGAATACTACCATGATCGTGCACACTAATAGTGACAGTGGGTAGAATACTACCCTGATCGTGCACACTAATAGTGACAGTGGGTAGAATACTACCCTGATCGTGCACACTAATAGTGACAGTGGACAGTGGATAGAATACTACCATGATCGTGCACACTAATAGTGACAGTGGGTAGAATACTACCATGATCGTGCACACTAATAGTGACAGTGGGTAGAATACTACCATGATCGTGCACACTAATAGTGACAGTGGGTAGAATACTACCATGATCGTGCACACTAATAGTGACAGTGGGTAGAATACTACCATGATCGTGCACACTAATAGTGACAGTGGGTAGAATACTACCCTGATCGTGCACACTAATAGTGACAGTGGGTAGAATACTACCATGATCGTGCACACTAATAGTGACAGTGGGTAGAATACTACCATGATCGTGCACACTAATAGTGACAGTGGGTAGAATACTACCACGATCGTGTGCACACTAATAGTGACAGTGGGTAGAATACTACCATGATCGTGACACACTAATCGTGCACACAGTGACAGTGGGTAGAATACTACCCTGATCGTGCACACTAATAGTGACAGTGGGTAGAATACTACCATGATCGTGCACACTAATAGTGACAGTGGGTAGAATACTACCATGATCGTACACACTAATAGTGACAGTGGGTAGAATACTACCCTGATCGTGCACACTAATAGTGACAGTGGGTAGAATACTACCATGATCGTGCACACTAATAGTGACAGTGGGTAGAATACTACCATGATCGTGCACACTAATAGTGACAGTGGGTAGAATACTACCATGATCGTGCACACTAATAGTGACAGTGGGTAGAATACTACCATGATCGTGCACACTAATAGTGACAGTCGCTGACACATCTTATCCCAATTGCTTAGGTCGATGCTCATGATGTTGATCACTGGAATCTCTGGCCCAGACTTGAATATTTACAGACAACCCGTCATATAGCTGCAATATTGCTTAGTACGGCGTTTAACAACAAACAAACAAATTTACAAATATTTGGGTACTGTCTTAAGATTCAAAACTCTCCTGGAAGGAAAACACTGACTAATTTATAAGAAGCAACAGCAACGCTTGCAACTTTTGTGAAAGTTAAAACATTTTAAAATGTCTATTCAGAATAAAGTCAAACTGTCAAAAATGGTAAATACTGCGTCTAAAATTATAGGGCTTCTTATCGAAATTATCGGCAATGATTATGAGCAGCAAATATCTAAACAAGCAAACAAAATTTTAAGTGGTCCTACTCACATACTTTTTTCGGAATATTCATCACTACCTCCTGGACACACTCTGAGAATGCAAACCGTTAGAACTAACAGGGTTCGCCACTCATTTGTTTCAATTAGTATTAGATGTTTAAAATAACAAATTCAATGAATGACTTTGTATGTCTATTTTCAATGTAGAAATTCTAGTCAATATAAATGTTTTGTGTATTTAATTGATGTATTTATATCCTAATTATATTATACAAATAGATTAGTGTTAGAATTATCATTTGTAATGTTATATATAGCTTCTTTATGAATTAAAAACTGGAGAACTATACATGATGCAAAACAAATTTCCCTTGTGATAATACAGAAAGTATCTGCTCTTTATGTTATCTCTCTTATCTTAGTACCTAAGTGCAAATAATATGATTCCATTTCCTGAATGAAAAGTTCGGCAACATAAAAAATGACATGTATAATCAAACATAAGCACGTTCTTTACACGTTTCCAAATTGTTCTCCACATTGTACATTAAAATATATACTTCAGATGTCTAAATGTTCCCGTTCCTGCAAGGCTTGTATGAAGGACGGGCGATGTTTGGTGACTAGATCTGGAAAAGAAACCTGTGTCAAAGGTAATTATTACCTTAGTAGAGTCAAGTAAAGTAGAACAATCTTATTCATAGTATTTTTTTACAAGAAGCATTTAATTAAAACCATGATAGACTCACAGTTTTGTCACCTGTGGTTCTTGGCCCACATTTTCTAAAGGTAGGGGCCATCTTGCCCCTTCTTGGAAATCTTGGTTGCAGCACCGTAATGTAAAATGTGTTACTATTTCGGAGGTAAGAAAAGATCCAGGTTAGAATTAGTCTTCTGTAACCCATGCTTGTTGCAAGAGGCGACGAACAGAATCGGGTGGCCCGGGCAAGCGGACTTGGTTCGTTATGCACAGGACCGTACAAATTATCTTCTTATAGATGGTGTTCCTCAATAGGTTTTGAAACACAAGGCGTCTTTTATTTTATGAAAACCTTTGTCACTTTAGCAAAAGATATCATCGATGTGATCCCATGCACCTGTATCAAAATGCTTAAAATGTTCTGTTACAGCAGCAGAGAACCCCACTCAGGAATCCGAAAAAGCCGGGAAAAAATTACTCCAGGCTGTCAAATCCGGCAGTCTGCAGTCTGTCAAAAATATTTTGGATTCGGGGTTGGCAGATATCAACGCCAAAAGCCGGGACGGAAAGACACCAATTTTAATAGCAGCAGGATCTGGAAAGAGGCGGGTATTTGAATTACTAATGACCAATGGAGCAGATATGTGTGCAGTAGATAAGAGTTTAGGCACCATACTACATTTTGCCGTTAATGGAGGAAATGTCGATATATTGAAACTTATCCTACGGGCCCACAGAGTCGATATCAACCGTGGAAATGGCTTACGAGTGACGCCTTTGGAGTGGGCGCGTTGTAGGCACAGGAAACAAATGGTTACCCTTCTTAAGCGTAACGGAGGTAAGTTCCATTAAAAAAAGGATTCTATGACTTGTTATGTAAGTGGTATTTAGAAGCTAGTATAATGAAGAGGAACACTTTTGATGGATAAACAACTTCTTCATTGCTACAGATGCGACGTTTTGGTGTAGATACGAACACAATTGTCAGGCAAATAACACACAACATGATGTACAAGGTGGATATATACACGAATGGTATTTGAGTTTATACAATTGAAGAGGTTGATGTACAGTTTGTTGACATTACTGAATGTATGTTTTCATTCATTATGTTTGCGCCTCCAACCAATAACCATAAATGGGTATCTTAAATGTTGTATGTGCGAATGGTCAGCCGGAAACGGAAAGGGTATTTCTGTGTTACACATTTACGTATTCGGAAAGAGCAAAGAGCTAAGAATGTCGTAAGAGAGTTTTCACGAAACAAACACGATCGGGCGCAATAGCTGAACCTTTAACATTGACACCAGTGCCATTTTGTACATGTATGCATGCATGCAGCTGCCCGACATTTAAGTCCGTGTAATTTGGTTCCTCTGTGTCTGCATTTTCTGCACACACACAGAACAAGTAATTCATGACATATCGCTCAGCCGTGCACTATGTAGGGATTTTACTAAATCTCCTCAAAGCTATTAGCTTGGAAAGACCCATAATTTGATTTTCAGACAGTGGTAAATCTGCTATTATAATATTAGTCCTTGTAAGGACAATTTCAAAGTATTTATTTGTTTATTTCCAACATGTGTTAAGCCTTTCACTGTCATATCTCAATGCATGCATGTAATGGTCCAGAAATGTATCCTTTCAATCCGAAATTGTAGAATACCATACTGCTATACTTATTATATGGTGGATAAACGTTTGTGTGTAATTATTATGTAGTGAATTAACGTTTGTGTGTGTAATTATTATGTAGTGAATTAACGTTTGTGTGTGTAATTATTTTATGGTGGATAAACGTTTGTGTGTAATTGTTGTGGTAAATTAACGTAGGTGTGTAATTATTATGTGGTGAATAAACGTTTGTGTAAATTTTAGTTTGTGTTGTTTTATGCAAGCTAATTCGCGATGACATTTAGCTAAGTGTTTGTTTCCTGTTTAAGGCCAACCAGCATTTTTCGATCTATTTAACGACGGTCAGTAACAATCGAGCCAATCCTGTGATTAACATCATGAGCATCGATCGAGATATTGGAGATGCTATGACATTCATCAACCAATTCAGCGAGCCTGGCGACCATTCACGTTAGTCGCCTCTTACGTCACACACGAGCCTGCGAGGACCTGACCTTCTGACCTGTATAACTTTACTCGCCAGAAACAATTAGCTGAATATATGTCATTCTCTGACCCGTGAAGATCCGTGATAGAATTGGCCTTCACCAATGCCTGTCGTAAGAGGCGACTAACGTCGATGCACTGAACTGGTACAAGTGTGCTTTATTACGTGTAAATCGTTTTGAATTGAAAGTGAAACCGTGTATTAACGTTTTTGATAAGTGAAAACACAGAATGTGTTTAAATTAGAGATTTATAGAAAACTCGATTTCCGCATTAAAAGTAAAGCGGGACAATTATTTGGATTACCCACATGGTCACGTGGCTCCTTTTTTGCTACAGATATGTTCATTAGTCATTTGAAATTGCCAAAATACAAAGAGACAAAGTTCATTTTGAATAACCCAAGTGTATATTACAGAGAGAAATTTCACCTAACAGACAACGCATTACTCACATCGGAGTCCAGTTTTGGTCGAGAAATGAATCCATCTTTTTCATATTTGACAAATAGACCATGAAAAGACATATTTCAAGCAATTAATTTGGCCCGATGCTCCCTGGGTCAGTACAGACCACCGTGGAATCTGATGTTTTAAACCATCTTATTCCTTTGGAAATATTCTCCAAAAATAATTTTCATGTACAATGTTTAATGGTCTTAAATTTGGTATATATCCTTCATTTTAGTGTTTTCTTTGCCTTTAAGGTAGTCTATTGAATCTTGTGAAAGTCTTTGTATTGAAATGTTGTTCATCAATATTTTAATTTTTTAGTAAAACTGTTGACTGTTGACACCAGAGTACCACTGAATGTACACTTAATGGTTGTAGAAAAACAGTTCGTGATCATGAACTAAAGTACAGTGACACCTATCTAAACCGGCACCCACGGGACCGAAATAAAATGCCGGTTTCGACAGGGTGCCGGATTAGACAGTGACAGTCATTTTACAACATGGCTGCCATTTACAGGTAAGTTATGACACCGACCGTAGCCATGATAAGTTTTGAAAATTTGAACATACGTACATGACTTACATTTAGAACTAACCTTTCTGGTTTTTGATATTTTTTTTGAGTAAACATTTGTTGAATTGATCTGAAAATAGAAAGCATATTTTACCTACATGTACATGAATGTTTACTCTATTTAGATACGACTTTGTGTCCGGGCTACAGCCCAATGGTTTTGCATGTGCTATTCAGCTTTGGATATATGCACAGATACATGGATGCTACATGTCCCGTCTCACATTTGTTCACTTCTACTGTTGCCATTGTGAAGAGCTAAATTTACTTATATCCGCTACATACATGTACATCTTTGCTACAATGCCAATATTGATTATTTTGCAAATGCAGTTTTGGTTTTTTTAGTGGATAGGTATGTACAGAAGTGACAAGAAATATCAAGCAGTTATATCTAATGCTGCTGTTACCACGGCAACAACATCGTTTCCTCCCTTCCCATGGCATCCCATGTCAGATCTCTAATTCTCATATATTGAAGACAAATACGTGATGTGTATTTTCCAAACATATTTTAACAACAGTTTTCATTTTAATATTTCTAGTACTTAAATTTATTACAATTCAGAGAAAGGCTTGTGATTGGTCAATCTGCCTTGGATAAGCCACCATATTCGCCTAACAAGCGAGGATATTTTTTTCTGTATACCTACGCAGTTCAGGACGTACATGGTAGCCGGCAAATAGCTACCCTGGTCGATTATGTACGAGTCAGCAACTTTTCTTGATATCATATTTGTATGGTAGTCGTACTCATCACAAAACCAATCAGTGCAAATCCAGTGGAATTTTATTTTAGATTAGTCCAAAGAATGACCTTTCAGCTTTGTCTTTTCACGTGATACACTTCAATATTGGTAATTAAGTTCCTAAAATTTATAAAGCGGATCGTAATTCTTTTTTCAAACTTCAGAATCATTTTAATACCAATAGTTTCTCACTTTCCCACTTGGAAGAAAAGGTTTGTTACCTCTACTGTCCAACGAGATAAAAGCAATGGTTTATATGTTCGAAGGTAATTGTACGTGTATGATAGATGCATAAATGCAGTACAAAATGCATATTTCAAAAATGGGATGTGTCAAACACACCACCGTTACAGGATGCATGCAGGACGAACATGGACACTCGAGTTATCCCCCTTGGAGAATTCTTTATCGCATAAGTAATGTCTGTCCAGTACTTCTTCTTGTGGGTCATAAATAGAACATAGTTCTTGTGTCTCGTTTCATGTTATTTTAGAGTTTGAAAAGTTATCAACTTCTTTTTGTGTGGTCTTTCAGGGATTATTTGCAGGCCGACATCTTGTTCCTGAAATGTTGCTTAGTGCGTAAATCAACAATACATGCCAAACCAAAAGTTGTTCAGTGGACCGATCACACATACCCCGACACTGTAACTGTCTGGTTTAGGTTTAGTGTATTTTCAGGCGTTGACGTTTACATTTACAACAAAATACATATGGCAGGAACTTCTTTATTGATGCATCGTGGAAAAAACACGAAGCATCTTCATCCCACGGTTTTCTTGTATACAATGCATTACACACAGAAACAAATTTGTGTGCTTTGAAATTTGTCAGTTGTGACTCTGTGATATTGTGTAAAATGGACATGCTTTTAAATGTACACCATGACTTTAAACATTTAGTGCTGTCAATGCTAACACGATAAAGTAATATGCTGTATGTTTGTACAGGTATTTGAAGGTCGGTGACATTTGGTGCAACACGGTTATGACTCCTTGACCCAAAATGTTGCTGGCAAAACCATTTTCCTTTAGGCCAAATGTACATAGCAAGACGCTTTAGGACCTTACTGTATACTGCCACATTCCTTATGCCAGGCCGTACTTAAACAGACTGTAAACAGCAACATTCCTTCTGACCATAAGACCAAACTGTACATCGTCACGTTCACACTGCCACATTTTTCAAGGACAGACTGTACCAGCAACACTCTTTATGGTCAGACTCTACACTGCCACATTCTTTATGCCAGGCCGTACTTAAACAGACTGTAAACAGCAACATTCCTTCTGATTATAAGACCAAACTGTACATCGTCACGTGCACACTGCCACATTCTTCAAGGTTATATTGTATATAATGACATTGTTTAAGGCCAGACTGTACATAGCCAGACACTCCAGGGCGAGACTCTACACTACCACATTCTTCAAGGCCATACTGTACACTGCCACATTTTTCAAGGACAGACTGTGCACTGTCACAGTCTTTATGGTCAGACTGTACACTGTCACATTCTTCAAGGCCATACTGTACACTGCCACATTTTTCAACGACAGACTGTACACTGTCACATTCTTCAAGGCCATACTGTACACTGCCACATTTTTCAAGGACAGACTGTACACTGTCACATCTTTATGGCCAGACTGTACACTGTCACATTCTTCAAGGCCATACTGTACACTGCCACATTTTTCAAGGACAGACTGTACACTATCACATCTTTGTGGCCAGACTGTACACTGTCATATTCTTCAAGGCCATATTGTACACTGCCACATTTTTCAAGGACAGACTGTACACTGTCACAGTCTTTATGGCCAGACTGTACACTGTCACATTCTTCAAGGCCATACTGTACACTGCCACATTTTTCAAGGACAGACTGTACACTGTCACATCTTTATGGCAAAACTGTACACTGTCACATTCTTCAAGGCCATACTGTACACTGTCACATTTTTCAAGGACAGACTGTACACTGTCACATCATTATGGCCAGACTGTACACTGTCAAATTCTTCAAGGCCATACTGTACACTGCCACATTTTTCAAGGACAGACTGTACACTGTCACATCTTTATGGCCAGACTGTACACTGTCACATTCTTTGAGGCCAGTCTGTACAAAGCGACTCTCTTTAAGGCCAGACTGTACAAAGACGCACTTTTTTATGGCCAGACTGTACACTGCCACAATCCTTTTCAGCAGCAGGATGTCATGACCTCGTCCCGAAGACGAAGCGGATGGGATGTTTGGTCCCCACAAATATCCTGTATCTTAATTGTACATCTTCATGGCCATGCTCCAGATCCACCCGGAAATGCTGCACTATCTGAAACAATCAAATACAGATAGATCAAAATAGGTCAAGATAAACTCTGCCGACAGTTTTATTGACTGAGTTTAGTTATACACCGCTTTTAGCAATATTCCAGCAATATCACGGCGGGGAACCAGAAAATGGGCTTCACACATTGTACCCATGTGGGCAATCGAACTCGGGTCATTGGCGTGACGAGCGAACGCTGTAACAACTAGGCTACTCCACAGCTCCGTCGACAGTTTGAACTAAATCTTCGAAAATAGAAAACCCCCACGAAACTTCAGAACGCAAGAGCAATGCTAAGACGTTCCATGCACATGAATTGTGTTGGGCGTGACCTCTCAAACCAATCAAAATATGCAACTTAACCTTTCAAGAGTGTTCAATATTATATATACAAGAAATAAAGTCCTTTTCAAAATACGCGAAAATCACATTAATACAATTGAAAAATACATGTTGATAAGAAACCCAGGGGTCATTAAGCGATATAGTCACAAATATATTCCAAATGTATTCCTTGAAAACATTTCAGATGATTGTGTAAACACATTCTGCACGAAGGCAAGGTCCTTAAGGGAAGGTCAAGGTAACCCAGTAGAGGTTGTGAATGAAATAGCTCACGAGGTCGCGCACGTGCTAATTGATTCTGCACGAAAAACATTTGGCGATATTCCTTACAAGGCTAATACCACTACTTGTAGTAAAACGAACGCTTTCTATAAGCCATGGTTTGGATCAGATTGTAAGAAGAAACGCAAGTCATTTTGTCAAAGCAAAATATGTCTATTATAAGAACAGAACCGATCATAATAAAACTCTTTTCCGTAAAGCAAGTAAAGAGTATAAGAAAACAATGAATAAGTATATAAAGAAAGAAAATAATTTTATTAGAAAACCGTTACGCGAAACCCAGCATTTATCTCCAAAACACTACTGGAGATTACTGAAAGGTAAACAGAAAGAAGACAGTTGTCCTATCCCATTAGATGAATTCTATGATTATTTTAAAAACGTTAACGAAAGTACCATTAACGATGATGTGGACCTGGATGGAATGTCAGACTCCCCAAATTATGATGTTAGTGTACTCAATGATGAAATAACTTCAAATGAAATCGTCGTTGCCCTTCAAAAACTGAAGAAAAACAAGACGCCTGGCTTAGACTTGATTTCAAATGAGCACTTATCTTCAGCCTTACCAAAACTGCTACCATTTTATGTTGAATATTTTAACGCTGTACTTAAGACTGGAATTTGACCGAAGCATGGCTTTCTGATACTATCAAACCTATCTATAAGAAAACTGGTAATCGTACGGACCCGGCTTCATATAGACCAATCTCTATCTTAAGCTGCTTTGGTAAACTTTTTACTAGCATCCTAAACGAGAGATTAAATAAATTTTGTGATGATAACGATATAATATCGCATGCCCAATCCGGTTTCCGAAAAGGCTTCTCCACAACAGATAATGTGTTTATTATTCATAATTTGTTAAATCATTTGAAGAAATGTAAAAAGAAACTCTGTGCCTTTATTGATTTTTCTAAAGCATTTGATAAGGTTTGGAGAATTGGACTGTGGACCAAATTAAGACAAACTGGTATCAAGGGTAAAATACTGACTTTAATACAAAATATGTATAATGATATAAAATCTTGCGTTATGGTAGAATCTGCAAGATCAGATTTCTTTGATTGTCTTTCAGGAGTTAGACAAGGAGGAAACTTGTCTCCTCTTTTATTTTCTTTATTTCTAAATGACTTAGAATCCCATTTAGAAGAACAAGCATGTGTCGGTATTGAATTAAAATCAAATAATGATGAGTTTATTATTTATCAAAAATTGCTAGTTCTACTTTACGCTGACGATACAGTCCTCTTAGCTGAAACTCATGATGATTTACAACATGCACTGAATAAATTCGCTGTATATTGCGACACGTGGAAACTTAAAGTAAATATTAGTAAAACTAAGATTATTGTTTTTGGTTCCGGACCTGCAGCTAGTTATAAGAAATCGTTTACACTATATGATGATAGAATAGAAGTTGTAGACACCTATAAATACCTGGGAACTCTACTACACAGAAATGGTCGTATGAATTTTGCTGTTAAACACATAGCCGATCTCGGTACGAAGGCATCAATAGCGTTACTAAAACGTGCCAGAAATGTTAAGTTACCACTGCACCTGCTCCTTTCTGCATTTGATAGATTAGTAGTACTAATATTGATGTATAGATGTGAAATATGGGGACATGAGAAGACTGACATGATAGAAAGAGTACATCTAAAATTTCTTAAATTAGCAACTGGTTTAAAATATAACACCCCTAATTTCATGGTGTACGGGGAGCTTGGTAGGGAACCTATTCAGCTTCAAATTTCGAAACGACTAATCTCGTACTGGTGTAAATTGACATTATCACATCCAAATAACAAAATAGCAACTTTCATTCTTCAATATATTACTAAACAAAACAAAACAGCGAATTACTATGTCTGGCTAAGTCATATTAAACATATTTTCTGTAGGTGCGGATTGCCTGACGTTTTTGACAACCCTCATCTATACTCAAATTCATGGATCATTTCAAATGTTGAATCTATCTTAAAGGACCAATTTTTACAATCGTGGACGAGCGATATGCAAAACTCCTCTAAAGGAATATACTATAAAGTTCTGAAGCGCTCTCTAAACTTTGAACAATACCTACTTCTCTCAGATGCTATTTCTAAACCGATCCTAAAATTTAGAACATGCAACCATAAACTTCCCATAGAAACTGGGAGATGGCAAAATATACCAAAAGAACACAGAGTTTGTAACTTATGTGACTCACATTTGATCGGAGATGAGTTCCACTATTTGTTTAAATGTAATTATTTTGCAGACATACGTATATCGTTGTTTAAAGAACCTTATAGTTCCTGGCCAAATTTATCGAAATTCCGTTAACTGTTTTCAAGTAAAATATCTACCCTTAAAAATGTATCCAAGTTCATCAAGATTGTTTGCAAACACTTTAATTGATGCATCATTTAGTCATCTTGTTGTACATATTGTATGTAACATACTCCTTTGTTATACTCATGTACCACCGAAGGTGGATTATTTTGAGTAATAAAAACGTGTGATGTTAATGTTATGACACGACCTTTGTATATTTCCTGTATAAATGAATGAAACAATGCCGTCAAAATGTATGGGCAATATTGAAGGTTTAACCCAACGAGAATATATTCCAGGCTGACATAGTACAGCAGTGGATGCATCAGCTGCGACTCACACAGTTTGGTTTCTTTGACAAAAGAGGAAACATAACAGCCGTGGGGTGGAGTCAGAATTATGGTTAAAGCGTTCCAAAGAGTCGGCGTAAGAGGCAACTAACGGGATCGGGTGGTCAGGCTCGCTGACTTGGTTGACACATGTCATCGGTTCCTAATTGCGCAGATCGATGCTCCTGCTGTTGATCACTGGATTGTCTGGTCCAGACTCGATTATTTACAGACCGCCGTCATATAGCTGGAATATTGCTGAGTGCGGTGTAAAACTAAACTCACTCACTCACTTACTCCAAAGAGTCGGGTTTGGGTACAACTCCTCACGTGAGTACAATGTGTGAAACCCATTTCTAGTGTCACCCGCTGTGACATTGCTGGAATATTGCTACAAATGGCGTAAAACCTTATTCACTCACTCACTAAAAATGTAACCGCCATCCGATTGTTACGGGTCTTACAACAAGCATTGGTTCTTGAGTAAGCGAGTGAGTGAGTGTAGATTTACGCCGCACTCAGCAATATGGCGGCGGTCTGTAAATAATCAAGTCTGGACCAGACAATCCAGTGATCAACAGCATGGGCATCGATCTACGAAATAGGGACACGGTAATATGTGTTAACCAAGTCAGCGAGCCTGACCACCCGATCCTGTTAGTCGCCTCTAACGACAAGCACGGGTTACTGAAGATCAATTCTAACCCGGATCTTCACGGGTCCATTGAGCATACTTTCCTGAGAATCCCCGTGGTTCACAGAAACCTTCACTAGAAAAGTGAAAATAGCAAGGAAAGACATTTTCCTAGGGTTTAATGTAAAGACCTATGGATGTCTGTCATTTCACAATATAGTTTGTGTTATATCGGGTACATTCCAAGGCCTCGTTTCATAAAACGATCACATGTGTTATGACTATCGCAGGAGTGTTAATATAAGAGAATTGCGATCACGTTGGCGCTAAAATCGCTTTGTGGAACCGGGCCAAAGTCTTAAGATGTTAACATTTGAGCACGCATATCATGCTTACGACCAAGGATCATAATCGGAAGATACTAGTATCTGATCAGCGGATCTTAAATACAATTAGGAAGTGACTAAATACGTCACGCAGCAGCATCTTGCTTGCAACTATGAGAAGGGGTAACCTCGAGTGTGTTATGATACGAAGCCATACATATGGCTGAATGAAATGTAATTGTGTGAAATACCTTTGTGAGTGCGAGATATATTTCTTGCTCGGCGAACCTTCTCCCTAGACACTGACGGGGACCGAACCCGAATGGAAGTACAGCGGATGATGGGATGGGAACCATCCTCCTTCCGGTCTCGTCCCTCAGCCACCTCTCGGGGAGGAATGCTTCCGGGTTAGGAAAGTACTTCTCGTCCTTCGCCGCTTTCTGGTTCATCATGGCCACAGATGTCTGGACAAATACGAGTCACTTAGGGGTAGACCGTGAGTTTGAAGATTGCTCTTTCGTTTATCATTAACTCGTGGGTTTCAACAAAGAGTTTTAGGTCTAATTTGGAACGCCAAAGCCGAAGAAAAGTCAATTTCTATCAACTGTCGCAAATGATCCATGCAGCGTAAATGGCAAATTCGTGGTGAAAATAACATGAATGGATTAGTAAAACTGAGTGATTTTCTTAAGACCAGCACCTGCCATTTTCCTACACCAAGGTACCACATCGTGATAGAACGGAAATACTGTTCCAAGCGGCCTGATAATACCTGTTTTGTGTTCTTAACACCACGTACACATTATTTTCGCAAGAGGAACACACATGGGTAAGATTATCTTTATCACGTCGTGTCATTCTAAGCAACTGGATGTTTAAGACGCAGTTTCATGAAAGGAAGTAACTTTAACATCAGCGTGAAGCGTCTCCTGAATATAGCACCTACTGCTTTCGCAGTCATGTGATCGAACACACATCGATGTATGTAACTTTAGCGTAGTTCCGACTAGGTGAGGGTATTTGCGTATTTACTGAGGCTTAATACAAATATTTTTGGTTGATAACATGCATCAGTGTTTGAAATACGCATCGGCCCATGGGTCGGAGGCCGACGGTTAGTTCTGGAACTGATAGTCTTGCATTTCAACAGGTGTGCTGATTACTTTAAGCTATTATAAGTAAGGTTTCAACATTGTCGACAGCTAAAACTGATTTTGCTGATATCTTTTCATGATGAATTTCCATCAAACTTGATTCGACTGTGAATTTGGATATATTTCAAATGAACTATACACAAAGAAAATGCACTTTCTATGGAAAGTATTTACAAATATTAGTGAATGAGTGAGTTTAGTTTTACGTCGCACTCAGCAATAATCCAGCTATATGGCGGCTACAAATATGAAACTGTAGTACTACAGAATATATAATGTATACTTGAAATGAATATGAAAGGCGTACGACATTCATATACACAATTAATGAAAAGTTTATTCATTTAGAATTTGACGTGTGTTCAAGAGAAAGCAACACGTGTATTGAAGTCGGTGATCGAACTCTATAGTTTAACTTACACCTGCAGGTATCCTGTAGCCTTGAAGCACAATGTCGGTGGCTATATATCTCTGTGGACCAGACAGTATTGGATAAGCTAGTCTGAAAAAAGTAACAGTTCCTCGTGAGGAGCAATGTTGCACATACTACCAATCACCAGTTCTTCTGATCCAATTAATCATTTCTAGGCAGTCCTCAAAAAGCTGGTATACTGATCAGTGCGGGTACGAACTGTCCCAACTTGTAATAGCTTCAAGGAGGTACACCGTCAGAGTGTAGACACTACCACAGAAGGTATTAACAAAATAAGGCTATATATTGATCAGAGCAGCGTTAAGAAACAACCGAACTGTCCCAAGTTGTGATAGAGTAAAGGAGGCATACCAACAGGTTGATTACCACCTAAGATATTAACAAAATAAAACTATAATCACATTTGTGATAGGACTCAAAGGACACTTGGCAATGTACCTGAACGACTCCTTCATACAAGCAAATATGTACTTCATCTTCCCGAGCGCCTCTGTCGTGAGCGGAGCTCGTGGTCCAACTGTCTCAACGACTTCTTGAAACAACTTGTTCTGCTTGTCGGGATTACGTGCAAGATAATACAGAATCATTTGCAGGTTCCGCGCTGTCTGGAAACACAACAGGCATGTACGTGTTATGTGTTGGTAACTGTATATTCAGAGTAAATATACCCTACCAAGGTCAGATCAGCCACCACATCAGCCGACTGCCCAAGAAAACTACCGGTATAGATGTGACCTTCAGCTCGGACAAAATGCTAAAAACTATTCTGAAGGCCAATGGTAGATGTACCTCAACCAACACCAGTCACAAGCCCAGGGGTTGCATCTACAAGCTAATGTGTGATTGTGGCAGCAGCTTTGTTGGAGAGATGTCCCGCCCCATTGACATCAGGCTCAAAGAGCACAATACCTCAGTAGAGAAATTGGATCTAAAATCAGCCCTTTCTGAACACACTGTGAACAATCCATCACACTCCATTGACTGGCAAGCTACAACCATCATAACATCCAACATCCATGATTGGCAACGACGCAAGATTTCGGAGTCTATCAGCATCAAAAGATTAGCACCACAGATGAACAGGGACCAAGGGGTTTACCTACCCAATGCCTGGGAAATTAATTAGGTTCAAGGCTTCACCAATCACCTTTTAATCCACTGTAACAGCATCAACTCTGCCTTTGTATCTTACTCCATCTTTTGTTTTTCATTAGACTATCAGCCACCCTTTTGTACACCAATTAGACTCATTGGCTTCCATCACTTACCCACCTAATCCACTGTAACAACACCATATCTGCTTTTGTATATTTTAGTCTCTTTCATCTTATAATCCTTTTATATATTGTATATACATGCTTAAAATCACTCTGGCTTCATGTACATTACTAGTATATATATCCTGTATATCTGTTAGTTCGCATTCACCTGACGAAGGGGCAAGGAATAGCCCAGAAACGTTGTGTATACAATAAAGAAGTTGACATCCATAATATTTTGTCTTATACTTAAGTACCAACTTCTATATGCCTCTCATGAACCTCAACAGTGATTTTACTTGTACATAGCATTTGCTAGCAGAACTGAATTTCAGCTTTATGAAGGCGGTCTGCAAATAACTGCTCTGGACAAAACTCTATCTAGTGATTGACATCATGAGCATCGATCTATGCAGTTGGGATAAGGTGACGTGCATAAATCAAGTCAGTTGTCAGACCACCCGGTCCCGTTATTTGTTCTTAGGACAAGCATGGGTTGCTGAAGACTAAATCTAACTCTTCACGGGTCTATCCGGTTATCAGCAAAGAGTGAACTTCGAATGGCGAAACGAGTCAAGCAAATCTACAATCATATTTGAGTATTGAATGATTTATCCACCTTACCGATTCTGTCCCAGAACTAAACAGTTCAAATGCGACCGATCCCATTTCTTCAACCGAGAGTTTGTCCAGCATCAACAGCGACATCATGAAGTTGTTCTCGTCCACGACGCCGTCGTTTTGTCTCTGCTGGATGTTCGACAGAGTGGTGGAGTAATAGTCTGTAGCATGACTACAATAATATATTAGACAATGCATGCACATTATAATGAGAATAGTAGTTGTTATGAATGAATTGAGGGTTCTGTGTGAATATACTGAAATAAACAATTCCAGGTAGCCAAAACGACATTGTTTTGAAAATGTAAGGGTGTAAAATTCCAAATACGACCAAGTTGTAATCTTTTGAGCTTTCCCCACTCGCTTGGCTGACATTATCAACGAAAGACAATTCAAGGGTTGGTCTTTAATTTTATTGAGTTTAGTTCTACGCCGCACTTAGCAATATTCCAGCTATATGGCGGTTTTTATTTTACTTAATCAAGGAACGGTACCAACAATATCTACTTGCTCCTTTAATGTTTAAATGCATTTTTGTGCAACCTCCGGAAATAGAACAACAGCTTTAAAACAGTTTTAATATTGTTTTTAAGGTTTCTTGCTCTCCCTAAAACGAACTATCAATGACAAATATTGGAACTTTATAAACCAATTCTGCGTGGTATGAGTGTCATGTTTGTGTTATAAAGTGTTATGGAGGAACTATTTTGAGCACACGCTGTTGATAGCAGTCAGTGAGAATGCGACTTGGTCAGCTTTGTGAATAGAGGGCATTTTGACATAAAAAATTCGTTAGTTTTTACTGTTTCAACCGTTTTGTCAAACACGATGTATATCTCATCGTGTGAAGTTTGATAGTCACATTTTCACGAGCTGCAAAGCTTTCAGACTTCGCTCGAAGAGATATACATTGCATTTGACAAAAAGCATGAAACTATGTATTTACCTGATGATACGGTTCACGGCAGTGTCGTATTCCCTCTTGGCCCTCCATGGCAGTTTCTTCAGTAAAATGTGGGGAATAGTTAGAGTTTCATTCATCAGCTTAAACATGGTTTGGATGTCCTTCAGATCCTGCAGCTTCCAGGGATCACTCTCTATGTTAGGACTCAGATACCCCAGACGTTTGTTATAGGCGATCACGCTGATGCCTGTTGCCATAGTAAACAATACATTATATTGCGTGTGTGTTGTTCGACAATATAAATGTATGACGGTGGTTCTAATCAGGACCAGTAAATCCAGTGATTGATATCATGAGCAACTATTCACGCCTTCGGGCTATGTTGAAACACCACCAACCAAGTCAGCGAGCCGGAACACCCTATCTATTAAAGCCGCCTCTTACGACCAGAAATCTGGCAATGAAATTGATATTTTGCAAATATTAAAGAAGCTTGGAAGCTTCATCTTTCAGAAAATATATCTCCTTTTAGATTCGTTGGAGGGTCCCCAGTACCCCTTGCCAGGCATACATTTCCCCAAGTGGCGATCTGGTCACCACGCTAACGCGATCTCTTTGATTGCTGCTCATCCAGTCAATCACTGGATTGTCTAGCCTAGTATTATACTGCCACGGTGCAAACAGAAGACATGGTATACCTTGGTTATTGCTTAATACTGGGATACCCGTCATTGTCCCGTACCTCAGGAAAGGTTGGATGTGTATCGCATGAGTTGGCTTAAATGAGGACTGTCTGGACAGAACTTACGAGTCTTGTGATAACTTGGCTTATCTTCTATATAGAATATTTATATGATAACTTTTGCAGGGTTCTTACTTTCACATGCATATCTGAAGAACATTTCCAGTGCGCCGTCTTTCTGGATTTTACCCAGTTTGATCTGAGCTACGAGATCATCTGCGACTTCATTCTGTACCGGAAGGTAGTGATGCGCAGAATTTACCTTCATCATCCGGGCATTTAAAGGACTTCGATATCTGTGCCATTCTTCTCCTTCTCTGAGGAATAAGAGGCAAATGTTAGGTCCTTAGGGTGATTTGACAAGGTATACAAGCCTTCTTTGATTCACTAGATAACATTGAAGGTCGATTGAAATGTGAATTACTGATAACTTATGAAAATCACACGTTTTTTCCTTCTTCCATTCGTAAATACAAGATGATTTTCCAAGAAAAAATTCTTTCAGATGGTCGAAAACTTGCTCGGGTTCTTTTTGGAATGGACCCCTAAAGATCCGGGTCAGAATTGGCCTTCAGCAATCGGGATCGGGTGGTCAGGCTCGCTGATGTGGTTGACACGTGTTATCGTATCCCAACTGCGTTGATTGATGCTCATGCTGTTGATCACTGGATTGTCTGGTCCAGACCCGATTATTTACAGACAGCCGCCATATAGCTGGAATATTGCTGAGTGTGGCGTAAAACAACAACTAACCAGTATTTTTGGAATGCTTCCCAAAACGTAAAAACCAAAATTTAAATTTACGCACACATTTGATGTTGCAAATGCTCCAATACTTGCAAGTACTGAAATGAATAAAGGGTAGTTCCAATTCACGTGCACACATCCGATACCAAGGTTTGATCATATCTTAGATACACCTGGAAAAAAGTTGAGCACCGCTAACTGTTGACCGCTTACAGATCTATGTTCAAGTACAGCTTGTGTATGAGGAAACGTATGGTAATAATGTTCATTTAAGAAATTATTGCAAGTGTACTTGGTGGAAAGTGTCTCCCAAACACACCCTCTGGAGCATGTGCAGAAGCAAACCTACGTATTTTCACAAGTGCAGTTTGTGCACGTGTCACAATCTGCATGAGTTTTTATGCCACTACGGTCAGAGAAGGTAATCAGATGGCCTTTAAAGCAATTGGTCGGGAAATGGATGTCCACTACACAGTTGTCAGTCGTTGGGTCAGAAAATACTGGGAAACCAAAGAGGTGAAGGACGACCCATGGTGACGTCAAATCGTGCGACGTACACCAGGCGACATAGGGTACAAGCAGTTATCCAAGAACGTGGAGGGTACACATATATTGATTGTACAACGTTCCAAGGGTACAAATAAACGTTTTTATCTCATCACATACCCGCCATGTTGCCTGATCCTCTCGAGCTTGTGAGAGGTATATGTTTGAACCAAAACAGATAATTTGTGTATTGTGCCATATCAGTTATTAAACGTTGAAGGAAACTGCCAGATTTTCCAACATACTGTGCGTTCCGCACCACTGTTGTCTGTAAAATTATCAGGGTGCTTAACTCTTTTCCAGGTGTATATAATGCAGTTACTGTGGGCCACAGACCCCTATCCTGGTCTCACTGAACAGCTTACAAAGGGGCTTGTAATGGTAAAACAATTAGCACCAAGGTTTAGTCAATGACGGGGGATCAGCACAATACAAAACGAAATGGGTATCACGAGGTTAACACGCCAAGTTTTTTTCAGGACAAATTCAACATTGCTCACTGTATTACCCCTGTAAACCTATAAACATATTTCAAGCCAACAGATTTACACTGTACTTGACTTGACATCAGCATTATCTGACAAAATCTGACAAAATTGGCGTTAGTAGATTTATGTGCTATAAACAATATTCATTGTTTATATTGTGAGAGAGCGAGCATTATCTATACCGATTTAACAGTATTTCAGCAAGGGCTGGAACGGGTAACCCGGATACCCGGGACGGGTGGGTAATAAGTTGGACCCGGGTACCCGTCTCAATACCCGGACTCGTTATGATCATGTGACCAATATATTAAACAATGTAATATGTTATTCTTTAATGATTTAAAGTCTGTATTGTCTTTGAAGATTTAGACATAATTACAGTCACTTCTTTTGAATATAATACATGGTTAAGATATTGAAAAACTCGAAAATTTAGCCTCCGAAGATATATTGCCATTTCTTACAAATTTGATGTTTGGAATTAACATAACGGGTACCCGGGTAGGGTAGGGTAATCGGGGGTGGAGTACCCGGGTAGAAAATTTGGACCCGTCCCAGCCCTAAATTCAGCACTATCATGACACCATAAATGGGCTTCAAACATGGTACTCATGTCGGGAATCGAACCTGGGTCTAACCACCAGGCTACCCCAGTGGCCATATCATCAAAAGATTATTAAGCGACAATTTTTGTCAATGCCTACTTTTTCCAATCAGTTTATTAATATGGGGTAAATGAATCCACCATTCAAAGTGACACTGATAAACCAGTGCTTGAAGGTGTTGAAAGTACGTGTGCAGAGTTGCGTACCTTGTCTTTGCCAGGATCTATTGCTAAAATATGTTAGTATGCGACACTTACAGACTACCAACTCCTTTCGGTATGCCGTACTTCTCACAGTGCAGTACGTTGATGTAGGGCTCCATCCTCCGGGGGTACTTCCCCTCACTCCTCATCACCGTCTCCATATCCCCCACATCCGACACCAGCACCACCCATTCACCCAGGCGCACACGGACCAGGGGGCCGTACTGGGTGGCAAGGGCATTGTACAACAGGTTGGCCGTCTCTACAGTGTACCTGGCTGGAATTGGCAGAGAGTGTGAAGTAAGAGGGTAAACATATAATTGTCTGTGTACTGGAAATGGTAGAGCGCATAAATTTGGAGGCTTAATATAGATCAACCATCCTCGAGCATCTTGGGCATTACATCTCAAGTCTAAACACGATAAATATTCTGGTCTCAGTCGCCACCCAGAATTGTTTCATTCGGAGCATGGTTCAAACGCTTCAAATGCTATCGAACCATGTTTCCTCTCATGAGCGAGGAATATGCTCTCCTGAGCTGGAGAGACGATGACGTCACGTACGAAACGATGTCATGGTGGCTAACGGGTCCTGCGCATATATTATATAATTATATTATGTAATACTACATAAATCTACGTTTATAACGAACATTCTTAGAACGAACTGACGAATGAAACGATTTTTGTCATTGTCACTTGCTGTAAGTTTTAGTCTAAATGCGTACTATGATCTACGGTTATATAATATAACGAACTAAAATTAGAGGTCCTTTTGATTTCGTTTTAACCGTAGTTTAGAGAAACAAATTGTGATACAAGGGATGCTCAAGGATGAGGATTTCCGGACAGGGATCAGGTACATAATAACATATTAGAAACCGTTTATTAACTGTTTCCTTTGTGTAAGACTGTGACGTGGTATCTCAGCATGTTAAGGTGACTGAAGAAGATAGCTGGTAGCTGAGAGTAAACGCGAGAGTTTCTATGGACATTGAGTAAACTTACAGGACAAAACAAAAAGGGGTGGGTGGGGTGCCCCCCCCCGATCCGCCTATGCATTACATGTGGACGTTTTATGGTTGACAGGGTGGTGATTGATATCGTTGTATCAACTCAACATATGTATATGGAGTGTAGGAATGAGTCGTTGTTCTAGGGGGGCCACCAGCAACAGTCAGGCTGTAATTATTTAATTGATAATTGACCAGGCACATTAGTTGGAGGGCGATCTATATCGTCAAAGACACGCAATCAACAAATGATGGTACTCTAAAACATTTCCGTTTTACTTAAGTTTTCTTTTAATTTCTAAGCCCAATTACCTTAGGATTTCCCACTCAGTTCCTAAGATTTAATACAAATTTACACACAGTAGGCCTATATTGTTTCGATAAATATTACTTTCAAATTAAACATCACTTAAACAACACATTGCGGGATGGAAAGTGGAGTTAAGAAGATTCTAAGGTTAAACATGTGACGCAGAGGAAAACCCAGTGTTAAATTTAGTAACAGAAGTGGAACACTCCAATTAACTTTGCGGGTACAGCAACGTGCGGTGAACTTGGACAAAGTACTGTGACTATGTGTCCCAGTCCACCCAGCTGTGAATGGGTACCTCGTAAGGATGGGTAAGCCACGTTAACTTGGTGCGCCTAGTGGCTGCAAGAGTTGTATACTCTCAAGGGAGTTGAGATTGTTAATTCGATGTGTCGTTGAGATTGACATGATCGACGGAAAAACAAAGCGCCTGTGAGCAGCCTAGCTGGAACTCGGCACTATATGTAAATAGATTAGAGATAAATAATTGTACGAGGTCGAATACGTGTTAGTTCCAAATTCATGAAAGGTTGGGTAGCTTATTAGTCAAAGCATTCGCTAGCCACACCAAAGCTCCGAGTTCGAATCTCCACCTGGGCACACCGTTGTATTACTAAAAGCGGTGTAAAACTATACACACTCACTAACTCGTGACCGTCGCTGCTTCAGTATCATTCAGTTAAGTATAGGTATACTTGTCGTATCCCAGGTGAAATGGGGTTTAACGTCGCACTTAAGAATATTTCGCTCACATGACGACGTGCATGCGTGTGTATGTGTATGTGCGGCTGCTTGTACTAGCCCATACTTAAGCTGGTTGTAAAGTGCTAGCCCACTGAGATACCATGCCGCAGTGAAGCATGAATACCCCACTCAGACACATTATACTGACTCCGATCCGACCAGTCTTTGTTGTACCCATTAATGCCGAGCGCCAGGCAGGGACAAACAAGTACTATATTTTAACGTCTTTTTGTATAACGCGGCCGGTGATCGAACCCGCGACCTTCCGCTCTCCTGGCGGACGCTCTAACCACTACACCACTATGGTCTCCAAAATTGGTATGATGATGCTGGTGATGCTGGTGATATCAATCACTTGATTCTGTCCTTCATTATCGATACTTACAGGTCGCCCTTGCATATTTGAAATTGTCCAGGAGGAGGTGACAAACTAAAAAACCAAAAGCATTTTACGTGACATTCAGTACAACTTCTTCAAACCGAACCTCGTTTATCCAACAACCCAACAATCCGGATGATTTCCATTGAGGATGTCTGCATGGTTGTGTTTTTGTCTTTTAACGTCTTTTTCACTGTTATGTTCGAGCTATATGACAACATGCTTGACCAGAAAGTTGACCAGGCAGTCCTGTGATTGATATCATGACTGACTGACTGACTGAGTTTGGTTTTACGCCGCTTTTAGCAATATTCCAGCAACATCACAGCAGGGGACACCAGAAATGGGCTTCACACATTGTACCCACGTGGGGATTCGAACCCGGGTCTTCGGCGTGACGAGCCAAGCTTTAACCACTAGGCTACCCCACCGCCCCTGATATCATGAGCGATCCCGCTGATTATCAATCATTCCCCGGCAGAGGGGCGGTGGGATAGCCCAGTGGTTAAAGCGTTCGCTCGTCACGCCGAAGACCCGGGTCCGATTTCCCACATTGGTACAATGTGTGAAGCCTATTCTATTTCTGGTGTCCCCCGCCGTGATATTGCTGGAATATTGCTGGAATATTGCTAAACCGCGTACAACCATACTCACATTCCCCGGCAGAGCATACTTACTGAAGGGTTTGAACAAAAAACATGGCTCCAATAAACGGTATGTTGTACAATCCTCTAGGTCCAGGAATGTCTTGAAATGGCCTAGCGTTTCGAATATCCATATCTCTCACAGTGCCGGTAGTGGAGTACTTTCGTAGATTCTTCCACACCTTCCCAACGCCTCTGGTTGTCCGCTTCATGGTACCGGCCTTGAGTGAAATGTCACAGCCTAGAATGATTGTCGATGACAAACGTGTTACCAATGTGAAACTGATTTCTGCGAAGAGATGGGTGTGTTTGGTCCTATAGGTGATGTGTACAGATAGTTCACGACAAGGAAAAGGAAGTGACGAACAAACGTGAGTCATGGGTAAAGAAACACGGCATGCACGTGTATGATATACATTGTTAAAATAACACAAAGACGCGAAATCATATATATATTGCAAAGCTAATTGTTACGATGTAGTTAAAAAGCATCGTTAGAAACATGAATCAACTCTTGTATTCTAAGATACTGTTATACTAAGGATATCACGCGTCAATGTCGTATAGTGTTCACGTATTTCAAGGACACATTGTGTACCCCAGTCTATACATTCACGAAACGTAAGGGGAAACGAAAGGGGCAGCTCTATGTATTGTTCGTTTTCATTCAGCGTGGGTTCCTGCGACATGGATACACTCATGGTATCTTCGACAGCACTGCTGAGTATTTACCATGGCGTATGTTTTCCTTTGTGAGTGAACAGCAGTTCAGGTCATTGATCTCACGGAATGTATGAAGTTCTCATTGAAGGTTATTTGTACTTCTTTTCGACTTGTTAGAATGTACAGAAACTGGGTCAAACGAACCTGTGGCAGTTCGTGAGTTGAGGAATACTTTGATCAAGGGTTCGAATCCAGGTCCGCCTGCATAGGGTTCAAGGTTTGTTAGTGCACATTGGCCTCACCAAAGTTGTAAACTTAAAGGACCTGCCTCCCTATCTATTAAGTTATCACGTCGTCAGGTTCAGTATTTCCTCTATTTGACGCGGGCATGTAACACACATTATCTTTCCTCATGTAAGAATGTCCATCTCTGATTGGTTCACGTGACCTTGAACAAATTACCATTTATGCCCGTTGAACGGCCGTACACCGTCCAAGCGGGATAAACATCTTTTTGGGAGGGAGAATAAATCATTTTTACCCCGCCCCATGGAAAAAGCATGCATCCACGGCAGTCAGTGAACCGTGAGCCAAGGTTCGGATCGACGAGTCAGTGCCATGTTAGTGAAATATACTTCTCACCAAATGTTTAGACTCACTATAGTAAATATAGCCACTTACTTCAGTCAACTGTTCTAAACTAAATGTTGCAAAATATTCCATACTGACAGTGTTTAAAGGTACTGTTTACACATGAACTGATGTATTGTAAAACAAATTTGTAACGTTGAAAAGATTATTGTCACGAGTTCAGTAAATGATGAATCTCAGTGAAAATTGGCGAATTCTTAACAAAACTTTACACCACAACGCAGCTGTTCACATGCACGATATTTGCACATGCTTTTCAGTAGTTTGATGAATGATCCTCGTGCAATTCAGCTGCATAAAGTTTGGAGTTGGTTCCCCCAAGTTAGTGGAGAAATCGATATTAAATGTAATTATTTCTACACATTTGTTGTAAGTGAGTCTAAACTTTTGAAGAGAAGTATATATGATTGAATTTCAGTTTGTTTTAATGTTATATTTACATAATGAGAGATTTAAACATTCGGTAAGATAATTTCGTTGTAGCATATCCGGCTCGGGCGATAAAACCTAACGCGGGACACGTAAAATGCCACAACATACTAGCGTCTCATTTATGCCGAGTCAAATATACGCTCTGTACGAAAACGAAGTCGGGTCCCTAGTATGACGCAGGGTTCTCAATAGAGGCCGGGTTCATTTTTTGATATTCCCCAGGACATAAACTTACGTCATATAATAATCACTGCTTGTCAAAATGGCCGTTTCATGCAAATGTACATTCGGCTTAAAAATTGGGATTCAAAGAGTTAAACAGACAGACGTCGGACTCAAATACACGCCCTTATGTAAGTAATATGACAAGAGGAAAGACCTCTGACTCGCTTGTGTAAACGGGTGGGTGCTTTCAAGTACAGTACGTCGCTTGACCTACCTATGTTCATCGAAGCCATACATGCACAATACGTGACTCAGATATAACAATACGAGTTACCAACACGTAGTTTAACAACACGACATATAAACACGTGGATATAACAATACAAGCTACCAACACGTGGATATAACAACACGACATATAAACACGTGGATATGACAATTCGAGCTACCAACACATGGATATAACAATGCGACATATAAACACGTGGATTTAACAATGCAAGCTACCAACACGTGGATATAACAATACGACATATAAACACGTGGATATAACAATACGAGCTACCAACACGTGGATATAACAATACTACATATCAATACGTGGATATAACAACACGACATATAAACACGTGGTTATAACCATACGAGTACCCAACACGTTGATATAACACGACATAGGCGCGTGGATATAACAATACGAGCTACCAACACGTAGATATAACAACACGACATATAAACACGTGGTTATAACATTACGAATACCCAACACGTGGATATAACAATACGACGTATAAACACGTGGATATACCAACACGTGGATGTGACAATACGAGATACAATCATGTGAGCCACGGTTCATGAGAATTTCACAGCGTAAAAGCAGAGAAACAAAACTGTTTAAATTTTCAGTCATGTGGGGCAAATACATCACTGATGATCTTATTCGGTACAAAGTTGTAAATTTCAATAACCTTCCATAATAAAATCACAACATATATAGAACGGTTAGACTGACATTTTGAAAACAGCAAAACATACATACTTCTGAAGTTCCCTCAACTGTCAAAATTAACTGCAGATGCATCCGTCCATTCTGAGATCACGTCGCATCCTTCCATACATCAGTACCAGAATCAGAGTTGGCACAGCGGTGCTGAAGCTCACCACCGATCTACTTTGGCGAGGCCCTCTGACCTACATGCTGTCACGCGACTTGCATATGTTAAATGTTTAAGTAATGTCTGCTGAGCAATGTGCCTCGGGTTATAGTGACAGCTTTGTTAACAAAATCGTATAAACATAAAGCAGACGGGCTTGACAAATATACACTGACATTTAGAGAGGCATGTACTTGTACGCCCACATTTTATTCCTACATCTCTATATTTGGGCAAATGACGTTACTACCCCACACGCATAGTGTACGGTTCGTGGTCATACTGAATGAGACTATGTCAGTAGGATTCGTAGTCAGTCATACGACACCGTCATGTAGTGCACATCATATAGATAGGGGTACATAACAGACACATAGACGAGATATGGATCCAATTCGTCCGCTTACATGGCGATTGTTTATCAAAACTTTACACCAAAACGCAGCTGTTCACATGCACGATATTTGCACATGCCTTTCAGCAATTTGATGCATGATCCTCGTGCAATTAATCTGCATAAGGTTTGCAGATGTTTCCCCCAAGTTAGTGGAGAAATTGTGTACATACATAACATATAGTGATTGATTTAAGCGAGCCTAAACTTTGGATGGGTAGTATATATGTCCTTGGATGTTTACAACGAATAAAAAACCCAAAACATGTGAAAGCGTAACGATCACCATCAGGTTAGGTTGGTGCACAGTCAGTCATTCGAAGATTGAACACCCAGGTCAACTTTCACACCGGTAGAAATGGCATGAAGACCACCTCCGTAGTCAAGTGGATAGACTGTCCCGAAAAGAAAGGTGTTCTAAGTGATAAAGAAACGTGAAGATCCGGGTAAGAATTGATCTTCAGTAACCCATGCTTGTCGTAAGAGGCGATTAACGGGATCGGGTGGTCAGGCTCGCTGACTTGGTTGACACATGACATCGAATCCCAATTGAGAGATACATGCTTATCATGTTGATCACTGGATTATCTGGTCTAGACTCGATTTTTTACAGACCGCCGCCATATAGCTGGAATATTGCTGAATGCGGCGTAAAACTAAACTCACTCACTCAATAAGTGATAAAACAAAGTTAAACAAGACATTGTATTTTTATGGGCTGCACCTATAAACCTGGCTCAGGTACAAAGAAGTGCACGCACGTGCACACTTACACCTACTCGCATATTCCCATATAACACTCATTTTGTTCAACCGACGTTAAACCCCATCTTTTCCACCTCAGGCATGAACAAACAGCCACCTAACCTGCCGGGGAACCACACGGGTTGATGGTCTTGTCAGATCAGAGATTATATGATTATATGGTCTCTGGTCAGATATGAAATATGTAACAGTGTTTCACTGACGCTGATGGTGCCGCTGTCTCTGGCATATCCTTCGTAAATGAATACGTATGGCACCGATATATACCATTGCTACGTAATGATTCCAAATTGTGGTATCAACAAATAACCAGTCAAGACCATTGAATAATTAACAAATTATATTGAAATATAACCGGATTTGGTGTTAAACTGAAAAGGCGAGAGATGAGTTCGACACAACCGAGAATTCGTCTCAACCGAGTTCGAGAGATTGAGGTTTGACTGTAATAGATCAATAATAATAATGTGGCAACAAAAAAACTCCGAGCTCGCAACCCATGCCAATCCAGACGGTCGGTAACACTTCTCTGATCCCAGTTGGACACAAGTGATATGGATGGCTCACGATTTCCTTTGCTTGAATTTGAATCTGATGGGTTCTTTGGTCCCGACGAAAGGACGGTAATGTATCTCAATTTCATTTTGTCCTGGTTCCAACGACACATCGAACTTCTGTATTATCTGAAAGTAGTAATTTTAAACATTATAAGATATAAATGTCAAATAATAATTATGTTGAGTGATGGTTTAAACAGAACCATGTAGTCACCCCAAAAAATACCGAAACAGACTATTGGGATGATATCTTCGCTCATAACTCAAGGACATGGAATGTTTCGGTACTTCAGATTTGCTACATGATCTAGCTCAAGCATAAAATTAGGGTCATCGGGGTCTGTAGCTCACTTAAATTTTCCTGCAACAACATACAAGGGATGGGAAGGAGTGAGGTGTGTTTTATGTGATTTGTATTGAATTGTGATTTTAGTCAGTTTTAGAATAAAATTATGAAAGTGTTATTTTCAGCACGTGTCTTCTTTGTGTGATGGTTTCACATCTAGTTCTGTTACGGACTGCTTTCCAGTTAACAAAAACATGGAATTCTGGTACGCTCAAAGGAGGCAACTTGTTACAGCGAACTGCACCGCTTACATGACTGGGCCTGAAATCATATTTTCGGTATCGCACCGAGCGAGCAGTTTAATCCGAGCGAGCAGTTTAATACACGCCACAGCTTGGCCCTTTCATCCAACTGACCCGCTGATCCACAAACAGACGTAGACAAGGCGCCACGACATCGGCTCACTTGACTTTCCGTCAGTTGAGCTCATCATGCTTTCTGTTGAACATTTAATGTCATAATAACCTTTGTAATTGCCAGGTATATTTCCTGCTCAGCAAATCTCTTCCCAAGACACTGTCTTGGACCAAAGCCGAACGGTAGCAAGGCAGATGGTGGAATAGGATTGGCTCGTTTGCCTTCACTGTCCCTCACCCACCGCTCGGGGAGATAACTCTCTGGGTCGGGGAAATATTTAATATCTTTGGCAGTTTTCTGGTTCATCATTATCAGCGATGTCTGTAAAGTTAAAATGTTTGAATTATATTATAAAAAGTGGATTTGATCATTACAGAAGTTACACAAGAGCTTTTTACTCATAAATATTAGGTATAAATAAAAATAATATACATATTACTGAGCGGTTGACTCGGTTATATTACAAATGGTAGACGATAAGTGCTACACGTGTAACGGATAACTATGCACATACCCCCCTGGGGATCCTGTGACCCTGCAGGATTATGTCCTCCGGCATGTATCTCTGAGTGCCAGATGCGATGGGGAATGTCAGTCTGTCAAGAAAATATATGAGCAATATTTCACCATTACCAACACGCTATAAAATCAATAGGGATAAATCATTATGGATTTAATGGCAAGCCTAAAGTTATTTTGGTAGGACATTGTTGTTAAGTCAGACACTTCTAACACACCTTTCCACATTTGTGTCCATGTGAACAGAAGACTAACATGTATAGTGCCCACATCCTTATCAAAACTGTAATCATTTATCAACCCAACACCTTATCCTGATGGACGAAAACACTCACGTGTCCCAGTATCTAAGAAATACCTTGCGTGTTTTAAGACACAAGTCGTACACATGTATACACTTGTGGTATCTCCAGTTTGCCCTATGTGATATTTGTCACGAGTGGCAAACAGACATACATCACCTGAAGGACTCTTTGAGACATGCTGCCATGTAGGGCATCTTGCTGATGGCGTCTCCGGTGAGAGGGCCTGAAGGTCCCAGGACACTCAGGATCTGCTCATACAGTTTCTGCTGCTTGTCTTGGTTGAGGGCCAGGTTATACAGTATCATCTGCAGGTTGCGGGCGGTCTGTAGACGATTATAAGACAAAGGTTGGAGAAACGATGGGTATCCGAGGTCGAAAAAAGAATATACACTGAAACACAGAAACATTTCTCCAAGAAGTGACACTATAGCATTTGGTTAGTAGAAACACATAGTTCAGAACTGTGTTCAGTGCAATATACTTTGTCAACGACAAACAATGTTGATTGCAAGAGAACACCTTCCTACGGCTGACAGTTAAGATGCTTGACTCAATAATGGTGCAAATAATATGTTTTTAGCTCCGAAAAATCTAGCACCCGATACCCCAAGTCATGACAACTATCCAGAATAGAGAAGAAACTGCACGTCAGAAAACGAATAACGAGTCTTGATTATCCACCATTCGGCGTAAAGACCGAAGCAGCAGTGATGACATCAGGGTGGTTGTCACAGTCCAATAAGCGTATCAAATATCTTCCAGAAATCTGATTTACTGACCGAATCTGTTCCTCCAATAAAGAGATCCATACAGATTGCGACCATGTCCCCAACTGACATCTTGTCCGTCAGTATCAGAGACTGCATGAAGCTGTCTTCTTCTGGAGTCAATGTGCCCTCTTGGATCCCCCTGCTGATGTCCTCCATGGCTTTTTCGTAAAAGGCGCTGGCATTGCTGACCAGAGAAACATGCATCACTACATTTCATTGCAATTAATAAGAAAGCGTTGCAATTATGCTGACTGCAATATATCTTTAGATGTGAAAAAGGTGGCAGAGACGTCTTAGGGGTCGCAATTAGGTGAGTAGATTTGTGTTGCTTCGCAAATCTCAGTTCGCCCTGATTACCTGTATGCATCCAGGTTCGTCAGCTTCATAATGTGTTTAGGCATCAGTTCTGACATTCGTCCCACATATTGACACGCTGTGATGTACGTAAGTTGATATTCAAAGTTGTCTTACTGCAAACACATCCAGTCGTGAAACAGAGACGTGAGACAGTTGACCTTATCATTTTCAGTACACGAAAGAATATTTCATAAGGTTTACTGCAGCTTCAAATTGAATATATACCAGCATTTCAATAATATTGATAGACTCTTTTAAATCAGGTCTGTTAAGAACCATAGTTTCCAGGTTCCTGCAAAATAACAGATTGCTCCCATACCTGACCAGGCGATCTGCGACTGTTTTATACTCTCGTTTCTCCTTCAGTGGCAGATATCTGGTGATAAACTCGGGAACGTGTTGGTTGTCACTGACGAGCTCCAGGACTGCCTTGATGTCGGCTAGGATCTGCAGCTTCTGTGGGTAATCGTCAATGTCGGGGTCGAGGTAGCCCAGACGCCGGTCGTAGGTGACAACGCCGATACCTAGACAGGTTTATATGCTGATGGTAACATCGAAAGATTAATCATGCTGTAGCATGTTATTTACCTCCATTTTATGAACAAAGTAATGAGTCACAAAGATCTTTTGTGTCAACTTGATTGAAATAGAGTGAGGAGTTTTACGCCACCTAGAGCATAACCAGCCATTTCAGCATGTGAAACAACTGTAATTGGCTGTACATATTCATTCATGATCAAACAAATGCAAAGAATAAACAATTGTACACCTGACAAAGCACAACAAACAAAACAACACCCCCACCCCAACACCCCCCAGAAAAAAAGAAAAAGAAATAAGAAACAAAGAACATAACAAACAACCCCACCCCCCAAAAAAAACAAACAAACAACAACAACAACAAAACAAAAACACAAAACAAAGAACAAACAACAAAACAACAACAAAAACCACACACACGGACGCACGTACGTACGCACGCACACACATGAAACAAAGGCCACATTTCAACTTCAGAAAAGCTTCCTTTCGCGAACAAGGGTCACCAACACTGAATTTATGTGATTCGTGCATAATATATTAACATGTGGAAAACGAAGAAAGGTTTACAAATATTCTTCACGTTATATGCAATTGGAAATTGTAAATATTACACGCTAACGACCCATTGTAAACCTATCAAGGGTCACAAGTGATAATCACCACCATACACAATCCATGACCAGTATCTAGTCTTGCTATTTTCTAAATCCATGAAACACCACCACCCCCACCCTTCACCTTCACCTTCATATCTACTTGACGTTGTTTCCATCCCCCTCAAAACGTTTAAGATCTTTTCTCGGGAGTCAAAATGATCATGAAAGTAGCCATATATAGTGTATATTGTACAAACCTTTCAAACGTTAAGGTCATTGCCTTTGTTAAAGGGGAATAATTGTCTTTGAAGTTTTGTAACAGGATGTAATTTCTAAGCTGGACTATTTAGCGTTGGCGGGAAAAGTGAGTTTATGTATATTTTAGGTAGACATTGACAGTCCTGTTATTTGACGATGACAGGCAAGAAACAATGTCACAAATGGCTTACTTTCACAGGCGTATCTGTACCACAGATCCAAGATTTCCTCCGGCTCGGCGACTTCCTGTTGAAGGAGTTTCACCAGAGCGTCACCAACCTCGTTTTGAACTGGCAGATACTGCTGAGCGGAATTGACCCGCATTAATCGGGGATTGACAGGACTTCGGAAATAGTGCCATTCTTTACCCTGCCTTGAACAGAAAAAATAGAATGTAACAACACTCAAATAAAGAAAAAAAAGAGACAATCAGTCGTATTGTCAAAAATGTAATAACAGTGTTCTTATAAAGTAAGGTTTACTGTAGTGTAAGCCTGATTTGCAAAATATTCGACATAATTCGCAAAAGGTATAAATGTTACATAAAAATTATACCAGTATCAACTCGTACCAAAACTGATACCTCGTGGTACCCTATAATGTTTACAGATGTCTTTCTAAACTCTTTCTTTTGTTTTTGTTTATTTATTGCATGAAATAGACTAGTCATGTAACGTCGATAGAGGAAAAGAACCTATTTTCTTCAGCAGAACCATCTGTATTGCTACAATAGTTTTTATCGAACAGAATACTTGGTATGTCCACTCACAAATGTGCCAGGCCTTTCTTGAAGCCACTGCGTTCACAATACAGAGAGTGTATTGGGTAGAGCCTTCTTTTGGGGTACTTGCCCTCAAGACGCCTTACGACTTCAATGTCAGCTGGGTCTTCGACCAAAACTGTCCACTCTCCGAGGCGGACTCGAACCAACGACCCATATGTCTCCAACAGGTCACTGAACAGTCTGTGCACAGTCCCAACTGTATGGTCAGCTGGAGTAGAAATAACCTCAGGTATATTTCGCGAGCCTAATGAGTATATGTTAACGCACTGGACAGTTGGTGTGCCGTCCCTACTCTGCGGGCAACTGCAGTAGAACATGTACATAAGTATATGTACAAAAGGTTCAGGAGAGTCTTGGGCATAGTTCGCAGTTCTTGAGATAAGTCAACTGAAGCACGATTTGGGCAAAGTCGATGGCAAAACATCATAACATCATCTCAACAGTTAAATATACTAGGATTTGAATCGATCTTAAAGAATAGCACAATCGGTTCTGCAGGCTGTGCTTAAAGGGGGTGATGTTTATCCAAAATATAGAGCTTTATGCTGATCACATTGCGATTTTACAGATGATCCTCTAAAAGGGCGTTTCATACTGCACTCATATAGAGAATAGAACCTTGGTCTTAGGCGGTATAAGCGATAACTAGTCGACTACCCCAGAATGAGTCTACGTTAAGCAATCGACCGTCAGTGCACAGTCTACTCTGGTAAGTGGTTAGGTCATGGGCATCGTCTTCAGTACAAAGGCATGATACAGTATTGGGCAGCTGTCTGACAGGAGACGAAAGTAAACACATTTCTACTGGATATGTAAACATGTGTTTGAATGACGTCAAATCGCGAAAACAGAGAAGGAAATTTGGAGAAGTTAAGTAGTCTGTTATGTTCTGATATATGTGTTTCCGGCGGAATTCAACTTGTTGTACTCAGTGTTATTAACATGTGTACAACACCAGACTCTCTCAAACGCTGGATGTTTGTACTTCACGTTTTCATACGGTCTAACCCTTGAAGGGCAAAATTCCTTCATTGTATTTGAGTCAGGTCTATGTCCTTTACACATCTAAAATATACGGTCAAACACCGTTGTGTTGAGCGTTGATATGTCGAACCTACTTTTGTCTCGAATTAAAAGCTTGTTCCCTGCGTGTTCCTTCTTAATTACCACTTTGCGGTTGTGTCGAAAATCGGATATCTCCAAGTATTTAAGTAGGTCCCCTTACCTTCGACACAACGGTTTTTGACTGGAAGAAATGAAACATCACATTGTCATACTCGAGTAAGTGGTTTAGGAAGGTGTTACGCCGCTTTTAGCAATGTCATAGTAGAGCCATGGCGGAGGATACTTTAAATGGACTGTCTATCCGTCTGGGGACTCGAACCCGGGCTTTGGCGTGACCCATGGAACCGCCATGTTCGAGGTTGTATACTTGCGACGGAGATTATTCAAGCGGTTGAAACGTTTTGCTCGTCACTTTCAAGGTGAACCCAATTTGATATGGCTGGAATGCTTCTCTTGAAACACGCCGAACAGATACACATCTGTTTCTCTACGGGTCATCGTTCCCCGATTGCATGTCATCGTGTCCTCCATTACGTGTCATCATTCCCCGATTCTGTGTCATCGTTCCCCGATTGCGTGTCATCGGTCCTGGATTGCGTGTCATCGCATCCCGATTCCGTGTAATTGTTCCCCGATTCCATGTCATCGTTCCCCGATTGCGTGTCCTCGTAACCCCGATTGCGTGTCATCGTGCCTCTGATTGTGTGTCATCGTGCCCCCGACTGCGTGTCATCGCATGGCGATTGTGTTTCATCACTCCCCGATTGTGAGTCATCGTTCCCCGATTCCGTGTCATCGTGCCCCCGATTGTGTGTCATCGTAACTCGATTGCGGGTCATCGTTCCCAGACTGCGTGTCATCGGTCCTCGATTACGTGTCCTCCTTCACCGATTGCGTGTCATCGTTCCCCGATTGCGTGTCATCGTGCCCCCGATTGTGTGTCCTCGTGCCATTTATTGCGCGTCATCGCATCGCGATTGTGTGTCATCGCTCCCCGATTTCTTCCGGGTCATCGTTCCACGATTGCATGTCATGATTCTGTGTCATTATGTCTTCGATTCGTCATCGTAACCTCGATTCCGTGTCATCGTAACCTCGATTCCGTGTCATCGTTCCCCGATTGCGGGTCATCGTGCCCTCGATTGCGTGTCATTTGATCCGACTGCATATATCGATTCTGTCACTGGCTTGTCTGCTCCAGGCTCGAGTTGTGTCATAAATGAAAAGAACATTTTCACAATCATAACTTTGCACTGAAAGAAGAGTTCACAGCAGGATTCCGACTTTCTCATAAGCATGTGTCATGAATCACTATCATAAAAGGTGCTGGTGCACAGATGAATGTTTTAAGACCCACTAGTGGCAACGGTCACAAATACACGCAAGGACAAATCAACTGTTCATATAGAGAGGCCAGGGGAACATGCGCTGCCTCACTCACGTACAATGATGGCATGTTGCGGGAATCAAGGCCTCAATTTGCACTACTCAAATAAGACCGATTTAAACTTATCTTGTATTTAAAGGTGTGTTCCGATATTACGGAGCTGCCTACTTACTGAAAGGCTTGAAGTGGAACATTGCGCCTATGAGAGGAATGTTATAAACACCACAAGGGCCTGGGATGTCCTTGAAGGGTCTCACATTCTCCATGTCTACGTCGCATGCACCTTTTCCCGACTGGTGTCGTATGGATCGATGCAGCTTCCGTCTTGAAAGCCTAGCAATGTGACGGGACATGATCATGCTGACCTGTGGCTGTAAAGAAAACCAGTTTGATCTGTCTCGCTTACCTTTTGTGTTTGTTTCTTATTCCATCATCCAGGAAAAATGTGTTACACAATGTTCGGTGGTATTTTCTTGTTTACATTTTGAACTTCAAAGAAGATTACACTTTAAAATTGAACAAAACTAATGATGACGGTCCTTGCACTATAACAACACGTAGTACATGCCACTCCACTAACGAAATGTGACAATGCTCTTTATTCATAACTTGAATTTCCCTAACACCTACGGTACATACATACATACATACATACATACATACATACATACATACATACATACATACATACATACATACATACATACATGTATATATATAAACTTCAGTCAAACACCAATGTCTGTTTTCAAATACCCCACAAAGACCACTTAATACCACCAAAATAGGATCGGAAAGCAGCAGCTTCCATTCTCTTTCTCTCTCTCTTTCTCTCTCTCTCTTTCTTTCTCTCTCTTTTTCTTTCTCTCTCTTTCTCTCTCTCACTTTCATTATGTACATTATATACATTCACATTTGATGCTGTGAACGTAATGTTTGCGTTTGCATGCAGCAAATGTAGTTAAATACGCGCCATGAGCTAGCCTACTATATAAACAGCACATAGTTTTGCCGTGTCAAGGATCTGCTAAACGATGTACGCTATGCTATTAAGAGAGGAGATTTCCCAGATTTTCACAACGTGCAAATTGCAGCGAGTTTGGCCTAATTTTGTTAGTGTGACGTCCCCTCCCCGGCGCGATTATACAGTCATCAGGATGCTGTGCCCAAACCCTCCCCCGTCCCTCCCTCAGTGATACAGCTGAGGTGATGGTTCTCTCGTCATTTGTTGAGTGTCTGTACAAAGAATTACGAACATTGGCAAGGATGATATATAGAAAGAATCTCTCTCTCTCTCTCTCTCTCTCTCTCTCTCTCTCTCTCTCTCTCTCTCTCTCTCTCTCTCTCTCTCGTGAAATGTCTCTCTCACCTCTTTTCACATCTCTCTCTCTCTCTCTCTCGTCTTCTCTCTCTCTCTCTCTCTCTCGGTGCCATCCCTTATCACGTGAAATGTGTTGTCAGATTTCGAGGTGCCAAAAGATTTGAGTCCCTGGGACGCACTAAAAGTAGTTCCCAAATAAAGTGGTAGTTGATGCAATATGAAAATAATGTATTTGCAGAGATATATAATATTCCATCATTAAAGCATGATAGAGATGCTGGGACCCACCTACCTGCACCTGCATCCTCCCCTGCTGCAAGATGCACAACACTATGTCTAGCGAGGCACAGTGAGTTTAAACAATCTGTTTCTTTACTGTTAACAAACGTGTTTAGATACACTTAAAAGCATATTTGACAAGCGACGAATCATCATCGCTCTGTTCACTTTCAAACGAGTTCACCTTCAAACGCCAGCTGCATGGAGAGATTTCACTAACTGTATTAAAGCTAAGACCCAATAAGTGTTGAAGCCCTTTCTGACGTATGAATATTTGTGACATCTGACTTCAAGCTTTCATTTACACTCACTCTTACATAAATTTTGGCTGGCAAGTTTAGCGTCCCTTGTACATATACTGCCGTACATAAGAAAGTACACACCTGGTGTTTTGGGACTATTCCCATTAAAACCATACATATTTTGCTAGCAATGTTGTAATTGGGTACAATATCTGTTGTGTTTTGGAAAAACTTGCGCAATGTTTGTGACAAGGCAGAATCAAAACACTTTTTAAATATTAATGCTGTTTAAAAGAAAATATTTCACCAACGAATCAGGTGTGTAATTTCTTTTGAACGTCAGTTTAGATATGTCGGTAAAAATTAGTTATGGAAAACAAAACCTGGAAATAATACTAAAATAATTGCTTTCTGTGAACGTCTATTTCATATGGGTATGAAAGGATATATCACCCCCATAAGAGTCAGTGCCTTGAACATGTACTAGTTGCGAGGATATGTGCGCTATATAAATATCCTATAATAAAAAGGTGAGTGCATCAGTGAGTTTAGTTTTACGCCGCTTTTAGCAATAATCCAGTAATATCATACATGTAACTATGTAGTGTTAGGATGTTCGTTTTGCTGTTAACATATTTGTCTCGGACATCAGAATTAGGTATGTTTGTATGAAATGTTTCTAATCAGATATATATCCGTCTGGATAAATCTGAAAGTGAATGTTTATACGTCTCTAAACATAAAGGCTTTCTGGTTGAAGGAAGGAATGAAACGAAAGAGGGGTGCTATTAATAACTGGGGAATCCCCACTTTTCACCCACATCGGGTATGGTCGCTCTTTCATAACAAGGAGGTTAGAGCAACATGTTTCTGTATTTCTCATCGCCCGACCGACTGCAATTTGGCTGCCGACCTGAAAATACAAAAGTGTTCTTTTGCTCCACTTTCATTGATAATTTGAAACTCAGCTCTTATGGATATATTTGCATAAGTCGTTCTTTTGGCCTTTCACATTTCATTGAATGTATGTTTCTATAAATTTTAAAAACTTTCATTAAACATGACTGTTAGTTGAGTGAACGGGGCTTGTTTTGTATGTTTATGCTCAATGATGCTGTTGACTTTGTACCGTTGTGTGCTAATATTTATATAAGTTGGGGATATGAATAGAGACTAGTTATTCATCAGCTATCAGATATGTATCAGGTACACCACAAATACAGGTATGATATTGACACACCAAGAAACATAACAATGTGTTTGCACTTGCATGCCATGCCATGATTTTGGCACGTGTCTTGAACGCAAGTGGAGTCAAATGAGTGAGTGAATTTAGTTTTACGCCGCTTGTAGCAACATTCCCCCAAAATCATGGCGGTGGACACCAGAAATGGGCTTCACACATTGTACCCATTTGGAGAATCGAACCCGGGTCTATGGTGTAATGAGTGAACGCTTTAACCACTTGGCTACCCCATCAAGTTTTATCCTGCATTATCAAGAGTATTTGCATTTCGTGAGCACCGGGTGCCGTCACCAGTTTATCTGATGTAGATATGCTTCGGCGGATGATTGGGATGTGTCACTGACGTTCCAGAAAAACCATAGACTGTGCCTGCATAATTATGCGACTATGAAGAGAATTCTAAAAGGTTAGGTGTTGTGGCGCCGTTCCACAGCAAGGTTCGAAATAATCGCTGGCCCGGAGACCCAGCGCCGGTTGTTATTGTATCGGGCCGGCAGTTTCAAATATTTGCAGGCCCTTGTGGCCTTCAGTAAATTATCTGTCATTTTTTTCAACTGTACTTTCCCATATATTTTTCTTTATTAACGTTCGGAAATCATCCATGATTCACCATGTTACGATAACTTACAGTGTCACTTCCTGGTATTTCAGTGCTTTGCGCACAGGAACCTCAAAGTCTTTAACAAATAAATACTTCTCTCCGCGCCCCAGGATTCACTAATTGATTTTGTAGAAACAGTGTGAAACTGTGTACAGTGTAGTCTATTTTGGTTTCATTGGTTTGACTTTAGCAAATTGGGCCTGCAGATTTCATTCAGGGCCTGTAGAATTTAAAGCCTTCAGGCGGCAGCAGGCCCTGATGGCCAACTGGCAAATTAAAGTATTGCAAACACAGTTTCACGGACATATTGCTCAATGCCACATGCAGTATTTGGCGTGACTCGCTACTGTAGCCATTGTTTTATCTTTAGGCCGGGTTCTGTGATCTTCAAATGTTCACATTATACCTATGACGCAATTGGTTCAGATTTTGAACTTAGAGGTCGTGGATAAGGGTCATATGCTAATCCCAAATCTCTACTTCGGAGAATCTTGCATTAAGTTAAACGTATTTGTACAGTCTTGTCAGCTTTAATGTGAAATATGGTTTGTGTTTAATGTCACAGTCAGCAATATTCCAGCAATATGGTGGCGGTCTTTAAACAACCTGTATGGACCAGACAACCCAGTTGTCAAAAGCATGCATACGATGACATGTGTCAACCAAGTCAGCGAGCCTCACCAACCGATCCCGTTAGTGGCTTCTTAAGAGTGACGTATAACAAAAACAAACAACAACAAAAACAAACAAACCAAAGCTGTACTACAACCAGCAAATGTTACCAATACAATGTATTTTTGTCAAAAGTGTACATAATGTTCTATGCTATTGTCATTGGACTTTGATATGTTTCAAGACTGCGAGGAACCTTCAGCTAATGCTGTACGCTTTGGCTCGGAATCCTGAAAAGCAACATAAGCTGTACGAAGAAGTTATGAGTGTCATGGGGACAGACCAGACGATCCAGTGATCAACAGCATGAGCATCGATGACACGTGTCAACCAAGTCAGCGAGCCTGACCACCCGATCCCGTTAGTCGCCTCTTACGACAAGCATGGGTTACTGAAGATCAATTCTATCCCGGATTTTCTCGAGCTGAAATATGAAATATAAGTTCCCATCAGTATTATCGAGCTCAAGTATCGCGATAATCACACTGCAGACTCAGTGTGTGTTGTTTTCAAACTGACTCCATAACGTGACAATGTCTTAAGACAAAGCTTGTGTTGCACACATGTTATCATTGAATAACAGATACTTCATGTTAAACTAGTTCTACTGTGATGATGTTTCAATGACAGTGTTTCATAAATATATTTTAATTATAAATTCATAAATATATTTTAATTAGAATACAGTTCTCATTAAAATATGTTTGATTATAATGACGACTTTGACATTTCAGTTCACGCATGTAAAGATGAGATGAAACAGATTTCCTTAAAACTGGTTTTGAAGTGATTTTGAAGGAAACTTAAAATACAAGTTATACTGCGACTGATGTCACATCCTCGGGGACAGTAGCTCTTGGGCATACACGTTAAATCGTTGTTATTTTTTGTTAGCTTATTTGTTG